CAAATAAATATAAAAATAATGACATGATTATAACAGATGAAATTAAACCACATTAGGATTATAAAGAGAAATTATATTAAACTAACACATTAATAGGAAAAACACACTCAAGGAAAATGACAAAGAAAGTGAAATTTCAAATAGGAAACCTAAACTTTTCACTTGTGAACAAAGCGACAACGAAAAAGAAATTCAAATGGAAATGCTAAGCTTTTCACTTGCGAACATTCCCATAACCAATCAGGTGATCTATTTTTCCTTCAGGGTGGGCAAAGAAGTCGGACACATCTAGATTAGTAGCATCATTATAGTCTTTTCATGAATCATCTTCCTAAAAAATACAATTGGTTTCTATCTTCTTCCCTTTCAATGATTCTTGGTAGAGGTTAACCAAGTGTTTTGGCGTATGACAGGTACGAGACCAATGACCTTTTTCACCACAACGGTAACACACATTTTCAATGTGTTTGCTACCATGAACACTTTGTTCCTTGCTTCTTCTATCATATTTTTTCCACTTCTGGGGAAAAATGAGCTTTTGGAACTTTCACCACGGCCACTACCACCGCCAAGATCTCGGCCACAGCCACGACCTCGAGCATGACCACGCCCACGTTCTCGTCCATGTCCACGTCCATGTATTTGCCCATAAGGATATTGGGTGAACGTCGCTGCATTCGCTTCTGAGAATCGGGCGGCACGAGTAGGACGAGATTGGTGATTTTTCATAATTAGGAGCTCATTATTTTGTTCAGCAACAAGGAGACAAGAAATCAGCTCTAAATATTTCTTGAAACCTTTCTCACGGTATTGCTGTTGCAGGAGCACATTGTATGCATGAAAAGTGGAGAACATTTTTTCCAACATATCTTCATCAGTAATATTTTCTCCACATAACAGTAGTTGTGAGGTTATTTTGAATAGCTCCGAATTATAATCACTCACAGATTTAAAATCTTGTAAACTCAAATGCATCCAATCATAACGAGCCTTAGCATGAATCACAGTTTTTTGGTCGTCGTACAACTCCTTCAAATTAGTCCAAAAAATAAGTGGATCTTTTACCTTAAGATACTCATTCTTTAATCCCTCCTGAAGGTGATGTCGAAGAAAGATCATTGCGTTAGCTTTGTCTTCATCTGATGCTTCATTGCCCTCTTTAATCTTGTCTCCAAGATCGTTGTCAGCTAAATGAATTTCAGCATCTAGCATCCATGGTAGGTAATTCTTTCCAGTTACATCAAGAGCCACAAACTCAAGCTTTGAAGGATTCGACATACTATCATAAAAATATACACAAATTAAAGTCAAAATTCAATAAATACATATAGATTACTATCAAGACAAACGACTTAAATGACCCATGATATATCAATTTGATATTTTTACAAATATATAAATAAATTCGAATTTCAAAATAAAAAAATTATAAAGGCAAAATATATTGAAATTTTTATACTATTACGACGAAGTACATATAATCATGGCTTGCTAAAAAATTATTAAGAAGGAAATTATACCTTTGCATTCTCAAACAAAGATTTCATGTGTTGATTAATAAAGTAAATGATATGTAAATTGAAATAGGACAATAAAAGAAAAAATTTGGGAGAATCGTCATACCTTGAGTAGAACAATTATAGATTTAACATTTTCAAAAGGAAGAGTCTCGTGCTGGTAACGTATTATAAAACTATGGAAAACAACTACAGGAGAAGATTAGAGAGGGAAAGACACAAGAGAAGAGAGGGGAATAGTTCTTCTTATCCATGTTTCATTTGTGATACAATAGTGTGCTCTATTTATAGGCACCCTTTGGTAACCACTACATCCTTACATTAATGCATATGAATTAGAGATACTGATATAGGAATAGGAGTTACATGTAACTCTCAAGTGAGCATCTGGTAGGTCATTGGTCATCCATATATTGATAAGACAGAGCAAACAGTTATACGACACAAACGAAAACAAGAACAAACAGTATTTACGTGATTTCCTCGACGTTTAGATTGTCGAGACTAGTCCACGGCCAACGGCGGTATCTCTCTTATTCAATGAATCAATCTGAACAGATGGTACACATATATATAGGAGTGATCAACTCCTCTTCCAACCCTACGAACTACAGCTGTGAGTTAGCTGTAAGCTAGTCTCCCCAAACCCACCAAACTCCTCGTCCTTATCTCCCTTTATACTTAATCATTATCACCTAAGCTAGTCACTTATCCTTATGCTTAGGTGATTTACGTACCAAGTCATTCAAGCCCATGCAAGCATACAAACGGGCCGGCCAACCCAAGATTACATAACCCAAATCCCATACAAACGACGTGTAACGGAGAAACGTCTAACCCAATATCATCCTCCCCAAATTGATGACCGGTACGGAGCATCAATTTGCCTGTGAGATAAAAATGGCGACTAACAGTAAAGGGCTTAGTGAAAATATCAGCCAGTTGATCTTCGGAGGTGACGTAGAACAAGCGAACATCGCCGGAACCAACCAAGTCACGAACATAATGAATATGAACCTCGATGTGCTTGGTGCGATCATGGAGGACGGGATTTGTTGCAATCTGAATGACGCTTGTGTTGTCAACGTATAACGCCATTGGAGAAGAACAAACGATGCCAAAATCTGCTAATAACCTGCGAAGCCAGATTAACTCAGAACAAACATCAGACATAGCACGATATTCGGCTTCGGTGGACGATTTGGACACCTTATCCTGCTTCTTACACCGCCAGGAAATAAAAGAGTGACCAAGCCGGACACACCAACCAGTGGTAGAACGGCGAGTATCCAAACATCCAGCGAAGTCCGAATCAGAGAAAGCTTGAAGATCAAGAGATCCACCGGAGGGGTAGAACAGACCCATATCACTGGTACCCCTTAAATAACGAAGGATACGATGTACGGCTGCCAAATGTAAGTCACGAGGTTGGGACATGTACTGGCTGACAATGTGAACAGCGTAGGAGATATCGGGCCGCGTATGCGTAAGATACATTAGGCTACCCACCATCGAACGATAACGAGAGCCATCAACCAAGACGTTGCCAGAGTCCCGTCGAAGCTTCAAATTTAATTCCACAGGGGTGCGAACTGGAGTACAATCAGCGAACTGGGAAGAGTCAAGCAAGTCTTCAATATACTTGTGCTGGTGAAGAAAGATGCCATGTGCAGAACGTGAAACTTCCAACCCAAGGAAATAGGAAAGGGAGCCTAATTCCTTGAGGTTGAATGAATCATGAAGGCGAGAGGTAAGTTCACGAATGCCATTAGAGTCGCTCCCAGTAAGAACCATATCATCGACGTATAGTAGTAAAGCCACAATACCATCGACTGAAGAACGAAGGAAGAGAGACGGATCATTCATACTTTGCTGAAACCCGAAACTGAGAATCGTTGACTGGAATTTTTCAAACCAAGCTCTCGGCGCTTGTTTCAAGCCGTAAAGAGACCGATGAAGAAGACACACATCATCCGATGTGCCGACTGAATATCCCGGAGGGCGAGCCATGTAAACAACCTCCTTCAAGTCGCCGTGTAAGAATGCGTTCTTGACGTCTAATTGAAGGAGTGGCCAGCCACGATGAGAAGCAACAGCGATCAAGGTACGTACAGTTTGCATCTTCGCAACGGGGGCAAATGTCTCGTCGTAATCGATACCATACTCTTGACTAAAGCCTTGAGCCACCACTCGTGCCCTAGGCCGTTCAATACTGCCGTCGGGATTAAACTTCAGTGTATATACCCAACGGCTACCAACGATACGAACGTGTGGAGGAGGCCTAGGAACGACGGTCCATGTATTGTTAGCATGGAGAGCGTCAATCTCGGTAGTCATGGCGCCATCCCAAAGAGGATTGCCTACTGCGTCCTTATATTTAGTAGGCACTGCAACCGAATCCACATGGTAAGTATAAAAATCAAAATACTTAGAAGGAGGCTGACCAAGAGTAGTTCGCGTAGAACGCCGAAGTGCGGGAGCTGGCGGTGAAGGTGATGATGACGAATCCGTCGAAGTGGATCCCGGAGAGGAAATATGTGGAGAAGACGAGGCAGTCGAAGAAGAAGCTGCTGGGGAAGAGATGCTGGGGTCGGGACTAGCCGGGGGCGAGTCGGGGGGGAGATCAGCGGTGGGTTGAGGAGTCGGGCCATCGTCAGATGAAGTAAACTGACTTATGAATGACAAAAAGAACTGTGACTCAGGAGACGGAGCATAGAAAGGAAGGTTTTCGGAGAAGACGACATGATATGCAATGCACATACGTTGAAGAGTAGGATCGAAACAGAGATAACCCTTATGGACGTTGCTATAACCTAAGAATGCACAACGAACAGTTTTAGAAGACAATTTTGTTCGTTCACGACGCGGGAGAAGGACAAAACATGTAGACCCAAAGACACGTAATCGGGAATAATCAGGATGTTTTTTGAACAAGGCGAAAAAGGGACTAGTTTGAGCTAGGACAGGTGTGATCTGGTAGTTCATAAGTCGAACTGCTGTTGCCACAGCTTCAGGCCAAAACCTTGGCGGAACATTCGAAGCAAGCAGGAGAGATCGAGTGATGTCCAGAACGTGGCGGTTCTTCCGCTCGACAACACCGTTCTGTTCGGATACTCCAGGACAAGCTTTCTGGTACAGAATTCCATGGTCACGATACAAGGATAATAATGAATTAGAGCTGAACTCTCCACCCTCATCCGAGCGGATGGTCTTGATAGTAGTATCAAATTGTGTGGAAATCATCTTCACGAATTCAGTGGCAACAGCTAACAATTCAGACTTTAAACGAAGGAAGTACACCCAGACAAAACGAGTTGTTTGATCGACGAACAAAGCGAAGTATTTGAAACCATGACGAGATGTGACGGGGCTAGGACCCCACAAATCCGTATGCACAAGTTGAAATGGTTTGGAATAGATGGTTTGACTCAAAGGAAATGATTTACGAATTGATTTGGCTTCAATACAGGTAGTACAAGACAATTTGGAAGAGTGGCCGATTTTATTATTCCCAAACAAACTTTGACGAAACATAGTTACAAGTTTTTCCGAATGAGGGTGACCTAGGCGTGAATGCCATAGATCAAAAACCTGATCACTAGTACTAGAGAAGACAGGAACAGCCGACAAAGAGCTAGAAGCAGACACTAAGGAAGACGCAATAGAACTAACTGGGACTACCGACTCAGGAACCGACGATGACGGCGAGATCTCTTCCAAATGAAACACTCGTCCGCGCTTACTCCCCCTTCCGACTTGGCGCCCCGTCCTCAAATCCTGTACAAAACAGCGGATGGTGCAAATACGACAATATGTCCTTGATCAGTGAGCTGTCCAACCGAAACTAAATTTGGAACAAGTTCAGGGACATACAAGGTTTGACGTAGCTTAACAATGGAATCACACGCACTACCAATACCATTGACATGTAACTTCTGTCCATTAGCAACTTCTAAATTCATATCACTCACCGAAGACATATTCTTGAATTTGTTTACGTCATTTGTCATGTGATTAAAACACGCCGAATCAAGTAACCAAGGACGAAGCTTACCAGTATTCTGAAGGGCAGAAAAGGCCGAGTTTACTGCAGTGGGTAAGGATCGTTGAATTGCTGCGTTCACCAGACGTTCCACAGCTTCAGTAGTCATCAACGATCCTTCAGAATCAGCAAGCTGAATTGCATTCACTTGTGGTCCAGCGCGCGGAGGATGAGGCACCTTCCCTTTGGCCTTCAGAACAGGACACTCCAGTATGATGTGTCCTTCCGCTTTGCAGTAGTTACAGATATTCCTCTGTCGACAGTGTTTTTGGAGGTGTCCGACCACATGACAGTGATTACATTTTAGTTCCGTTGATGGAGTGCGACGCTGTTGAAACTGAGGTCGATTGACTGCAAGCACCTCGCTTGTACCAGAACCAGCTCCAGAGTCAGCTGTGATAGCAGCAAATACAGCTTCTCCTTCGCCGGGACGCATGTCGAGCTGAGTTTGGGTTCTCAGCCTAGTCTCCTCTCGAATGAGACTCCCCAGCAATCCATCTATCTTTAGCTCATCTTTTTTGATCAGCTGAGAACGAACAGCCTCGAACCTAGGATGAAGCTTCATCAGGAACTGCAACATCCGTGATTGATTTCTCTCCTCCTTGACTTCTTCAGAAGCTTCTTTCGATCGCAGCGACGCGGTGAGGAGGTCTTGCTCTGTCCACAATAGTCGGGCGGCATTGAAGTAAGCCGTCACATCCATGTCTCCTTGATGGAGACGAGCAAGTTCAAACTCCAACTCGAATTGCCGCGCCGTGTTGGTGGTGGAGTACGTTGTTGCAAGGTGCTTCCACATAGAATGAGCATCTGGCAGCAAGCGAAGTCCAAGGACAATTGAGGAATCAACTGAATTCAACAGCCATGTCATTACCTTGGCATTGTTTTGAACCCAGAGTGCGAGCTCCGCCGCTGTTGCGGGTGGAACAGAAGGCTTCTTATCTGTCCCATCAAGAATTCCCGCAAGACCCTTCCCTTGTACGAAGATCTGAAACTGAAACTCCCAGAGAGCAAAATTTTTGGAGTTCAATCGGACCGAAACTCCATCTGAATCCATTGAAGGCTCTGATACCATGATAAGACAGAGCAAACAGTTATACGACACAAACGAAAACAAGAACAAACAGTATTTACGTGGTTTCCTCGACGTTTAGATTGTCGAGACTAGTCCACGGCCAACGGCGGTATCTCTCTTATTCAATGAATCAATCTGAACAGATGGTACACATATATGTAGGAGTGATCAACTCCTCTTCCAACCCTACGAACTACAGCTGTGAGTTAGCTGTAAGCTAGTCTCCCCAAACCCACCAAACTCCTCGTCCTTATCTCCCTTTATACTTAATCATTATCACCTAAGCTAGTCACTTATCCTTATGCTTAGGTGATTTACGTACCAAGTCATTCAAGCCCATGCAAGCATACAAACGGGCCGGCCAACCCAAGATTACATAACCCAAATCCCATACAAACGACGTGTAACGGAGAAACGTCTAACCCAATATCATATATAAATATTTACATAATAGACTAATATTGTGAAGGAAAGATATTTTTCGGCAAAAATATGGGAAGGAAAGATAAACTTAACTAAAAGAGATTCTTGTGCATTTAATGGAACTATACGCCTAACGAAAAAAATTCTATGTCAACCACTTTTCCCTACTTCCTTTAATTAACTAATTAAATGATGAAGCCTTATATTGTGAAGATTTGTCGTGATACTGGGAGGGAAGGTTTCAACTAAACACTGAATAAGAACATCTATCTGCAAAACAAAACCCTTCCTCTTTCATTATTCCACTTTCACGAAAGTAACCTCACAAATTTGGTTATGTGTTAAATTCCAAACCAAACAGGATTATAATTCGGTTTATACCGACCAAATCGAATTATAATTCGGTTCGAGATTTGGTAGACTTCGCGAATCCGGTATGCATAATTTCGGTTCAGTCAAAACCGAACCGACCGAATGCCCGCCCCTACCTTTAAGTGGTTCCAAGGTTGGTAACCACTTGAAAATGTTCGAGCATCAATCAAATGAGCCAAACTAGAACGCGACCTTGTGGTTCAGTAGCTTTTGGTGTGAGAAATTATCTCATAGATAATGTTATTGAGCACGACCTTTCTAGATCTAGGTACATGTTTGACCTTATTTGACTGATTGGGGCTGTGAGTGAGTAATTGTGCTATTTTGCGTGACTTGGCTGATTGAATTACCAACCGAGCCATGCTTTAGCCCATAAATTACTTCTCTCTATTTATACTAGCATGGGCCCCGGCCATTTGGCCGGAGGAAGGTGAGGTATGAAATTTGATAATGTAATGGGGTGTATAGCTTATTGTTGTATTGTTTTTTTTTTTGGAAAACAGGTGATAAAAATTGTGAATTTTAGTAGGAAAGAGACAAGAATGATGCAACGAATCAAAAATCAGCCTTATGAACCAAAATCAAGTACCTGTTACCTTGTGAAACAATATTGTTTCTAGTAATATGATGAAGTGGAGTAAGTTTTATAGAAATCGAATTCTAGAAAATCGAATAAATAATTGCCTATCCCGCCGGTTATCGGGAAATGAGCATCTCACAATCGTTGCTAGCTTTTACTCGATGGAGAATTGGTCTCCATGGAGAATTTCAGGAAGAAGGTCTACGAAGTGGATGGGTGAAGAAGAATAAGAAGAAGAAGAAGAAAAGGGGAATTTGATTCTGGGTTGTGGTTAATTTGATTGATTTGTGTGTCTTCTAATAACAGCTCTCTATTGATTCTGGGTCGGTCAGCAATCGGTTAGAAATGAGGTGGAAAGTATAAAAATTAAATTAATTATTTTTTAATTTCCACGTCGCATATTTAACGGTCAACTATAACGGAATTGGACGGAGAGTGACCAAACTTGAACCATTTAATTAATTAGAGTGACCAAGATTGGATTTAAATATTTCTAGTGACCAAACATGAACGTTTTTTTATAATCTCAGTGACCAACAATACAATTAACCCGTAGTTTAATTGATATACACTAAGTCTTATCATAACAAAAATACAAGATCAATAATAGTTCCCATACCTAGTTTCTTCCATACTAAACATACAATAGTATTTTTTAAAAGTTTTGGTGATGGATAATCATAGTAAAGGAAACCGTACCGGATATCATATTAGATTCCTTTCTGGTAGGGTATTTTGTGGTACGATCGTGGTTCAACCGTTTCGTACCGGTAAATATCGTTTTTGCAATAATAAAATATATTTTTTGACAAAAAACCGTGTCGACAAAATAAGGGTACCGTCTCGGAGTAATACCGGATGTATCGGAATATACCAGACAATAAATGAATAAATACAAGTAGTTAGAAAATTAATAAAAAAAGAAGAAATTTTAAACAATAATTATTTTTTATAAAAAACTTTCCCGTTATTTAATAGGTTACTGATCTTCCACCCTTTCCCCATCTTCCGTTCTCTCTCTCTCTCTCTCTCTCTCTCTCTCTCTCTCTCTCTCACACACACACACACACACATATCGTCACCAAATTGCATCCGATCGCAAAACCAATCTCACCCCCACATCCCACACTCAAAGCCAAATCAAAGGCAGTCCCTAATTGATCTCTCCAATCGTGGCCTCGTGGGTCTCCAGTCGCCGGAGTAGAAGAGAAGAGGAGCGACAGCGCGGCGGAGCGGTGGAGCTTTGCATGGATCGGCTAGACCTTTCGCCGGTCTCCACGTTGATCTCTCCGGTCGCGGGTCGTCAGTCGCCACTCACTAGAGGAGAAGAGAAGAGGAGGGGCGGGGCAGAGCAGAGTAGAGCTGGGGAAGAAAGAAACGATGAAAACCTCCTGCAATGCGCTCGTTTGACTAGAGCTAGGGTTTTCTTTTGGGCGTTCGTTGTTTGGACACCGTTTTTTTTTATGTAGAACGACAACGTTTTTTATTGGATATAGGCTACCGCAGGTTAGAACAAAACCGGGCAGTTTCTCGCTTTGTGCCGGTTAACCCAAAAAAAAACCGACCGACACGGTAAAAAGTCCCTAACAACCTATCGTTTCGTTTTTTATGTTTCTTATCTCTACACAACATGTTCTTTTTAATTTTTATTTCTAAATTAAATGATAGATATTGATAGAATGAAGAGTTAGATGATGAAAAAAGATGGAGGTAAAATTTCCCCTTATGAAAATTTAAAAATCAAGGTCACAGAGCCAAATATTTTCCTTTTCATCTTCATCATCAAAAGATTCTTTTTCTTTGTTTAATATCTTCTATTAATAACGAACAACTTACAACTCGATGGACTCATAACTGGCCTGGTTGATCCGCAACCTGATGAAGCTGAACTTGGCTTGTCAGAAACCCGATTGAATCTGAACCCGAATAATTTGTATCCCGATGAATCCAAACCCGAATGACTCTTAACCCAATCGAACCTGCAACCCAACTAACCGTAACTTGATAACTTGAAATGCAATAGAACCTCCTGCAACCCATCTAACCCTTAAACCAATGATCTCGAACCCGTTATACCCATAACCGTACCTAATTGACCCACAAATTGATTAACCTGTCACTCGAGCAAACCCAACACAAACCCGCCCGATGCACCTATTTTTGTGAGCATGTCGTTGTACATTGACGATTTGACGTTAATGGGTGGCTTTATGACCAACATTCACATCATAAAGCTATGAACATCAACTTTCGTTCTCGAGCTGCTCCACATTCACATGATAAAGCTATGACCAACATTCACATGACAAGTAGATGAAATGCAAAGATGTGATCGTGATTATCACAATACAGGATCCGGCAATGGAGTCAAATGATAATGACGCAAAAGATTTCTTTAACCAAAAACTGTAAGAACACACATGTAGTTTCTGCTTGTAAGTTGTAACTGGTTTCACCGGAAACCTTATTGGATGCAGATAACTATGGAAAGTAGACCCTAAACACAACCACAGACAATAACAACAAAAGAAAGGATAGGAGAAAAATACAAGCAAGAAATATACAAAGCTAATTAACAGATCAATCTGAACAGTAGGAGAGGAGCATACACACATCTACACATATATAGAGATATACAGAGTGAAGTCAGCGAATCATCTTGTACCAAATAGAGCAATCGGCGAGTTCGATCCTAGCGTCATGGGTGTGACCACAATTGTCGTTGAGTTTGTTCTTGGCAGTAACAAGACATGACCAGCAATCCAATTTCCAAAGCTGTCTATCACAAGTGGCGCCACCGATGACAGAGCCGTTGTCACGATTGGGGTAGCTGTGGACGTAACTATAATCGTTGTAATTCTGGTGTTTCACATTTTTGGTCTCGTCCACCAAAATGTCGATGAGACGCTCCACTCCTTTGTTGTACGCTATATCATCTGATTTGCCAACGCAATCTGGTCCCCTGATAATGCTCTTCACTGGAAGTCTTGCGTCAACAACGAAGCTCAATATACTGAGAAGCAGAAAAGCTGTAATTGCCAACTTTGACCTTGAATCCATTTTTCTTCACTCTCTGTTGAAGCTCTAAATGTACAATCTCCTCCTCCTCCCGAAGTGACCCTATTAGCTTCTTTGGTATGGTGTGTTTAGGGTGAGAGATTAATGCAGCCTACCCACTCCTTTTATAGCTCTTGTTGATCCTCGATTGATCCTCCCAAGCCAAAGAAAAAATAAAGAAGAAAACGACCATGGTACAAATCGATACCATTCGTTTGTCTTGACAAAAATGCTTAAATGCATGTTAAAAAATGAATATTGTGTCGACAAAACTGTCTTCAAAGATCTCATCGACCTGTGCAAACAAGACATGCAATACGACAACAGGAGAATGCAATTGCGGGATGGATCATCCCACTGTATGTAGCGTAGTGTCCCTAATTAATTCAGCGTCGATGATTCATACAATTCTGCCGCTCGTACGGACTATCTATCTCAATCCTAAAATGGCCAACCACAAAAAATACTTCTTTTCCAACATATTGATATTATTTGGAGGTTTGGACAAGGAAACACAAAATGGAACTGTTTTTTTTTTTTTTTACATATGAAAAATTGAGGCGTTAGTTTTTGCAGTTTAGCTCTTACCGATTATACAAAGTGATTATGCATGGAATTATTCAGGAGAACCATCACTGTCCAGCTCCTCTTTAACTTGTAGATACAATTGAACGACTTATGTACATGTTGCGGTTACTTTGCCTTGTGTCCCAAGTAACCAAGTCTTTGTGTCCTACTGTATCTATGTTTCCTAGTTGCTATAGTAAAGGAAAACCGAGTCATTACTCAAAGGGAATTAGTTTTTTCCCTACGTCACTATATAAGCTTAGCTCTGGGTCTCCTGTCAAAGCAAGCTAGGTCACGCAGTCATAAATAACATCTCAGTCCGTGAGCTCGTTCCGAGCTCATCGTGGATTAGTCCTGTTCACAACGAATAAGGATACCACGTAAATCTTATCTTCGCGTTCTTCTTTCCGCGTCATTCGTTTTCTACATGGTATCAGAGTTGATTTCGATTCATCGAAGGGTTTGATTTTCAGCTTCAAGATCTTCTGTTCACGCTGCTGATTTTTGTCCGCCATCATGTCCGATGATGAGTCAAGCGAGAAGTCCGCTGGGAAGACGTCCGCTGAGAAGGGTCCGGTCGATGTTGTCGACATCATTGGTCCGACGTCCCCTCTGTTTCTTCATCCATCAGATACGCCGAGTCAGGTGTTTGTCGCTGACCTGCTGACCGATGCAAACTATGGTGAGTGGTCAGCCGAGATCTCGAACGCCCTGCTTGCCAAGAATAAGCTGGGCTTTGTCCTGGGAACCGTCGTCAAACCTGCATCTGGCGAAAAGCTCAACGCTTGGGTACGGTGCAACGCGATGGTCGTTGGGTGGCTACGTCAAGCCATGTCGCGAGAAATCAGGTCCAGCATCAGTTCAAACTTCACCTCAAAGCAAATTTGGGATGAACTACAGGAGCGATTCAGTACTGGGACCCTTCCTCGCCGCTACAAAATTCGCCGCCAGATTACGAGCTTGCGACAGGATTGAGTTAGCGTCTCCACCTTTTATGCCAAGCTCAAGCGAGCATGGGATGATTGGTTAACTCTCGATCCTCCCGCGCGCTGCACTTGCGGGAATTGCACTTGTAATGTCGAACAGCGAACTCGCGAGTCACACGAGTCTATGAAGCTGCTCGATTTTCTTGTCGGGCTTGATGACAGCTTCGCCACAGTCCGTACCCACCTGCTGTCGTTGAAGCCCGCGTCGAGTCTAGGAGAGGCCTATCCTGCTGTTGCCAATGATGAGCAACAACGAAATCTAACCAGTGACAGCAGACCCCGCGTCGAGGCAACCGCCTTTCAAGGTCAGGGGAAGCAGCAAGATGAGCGAACGCCGGAAGGACGACCTCTATGTAGTCATTGTGGCAAGCTCGGTCACTTCAAGAGTACGTGCTATGACTTGCCTGGTTGGCCGCCTAAGTCTGGAGACAAGCCAAGTCGCCCTCGTCGGCACAGTTCGTCTCGTCCACCGCGTTCTGAGCCTCAAGCAGCGGCGGTGGAGCGCACAGAGGCTTCCATTCCAGGCCTCACTATCAAGCAGGTTGCCCAGCTACGGGCATTCCTAAATTCATAACCAGCCGCGGCCCAAGTTGCATCACAGCCGACGGCAAATATGTCAGGTATGTCTTCAGTCGATCTATTTACAGCATGGGTTATTGATTCTGGGTGTAACGAACACATTGCTAAAGATAGATGTTTGTTTGATGGCGAGTTGGATACCGACTCGAGTTTACAGGTTCGCATTCCTAATGGAACGAGTATCTCCGTTCAGGGTATTGGGAACTCGAAATTAAGTAGTGGGTTCATGCTTCGTCGTGTTCTGCATGTTCCCGAGTTCCAGTGCAATCTATTGTCTGCCAGTCGTCTTACCGCCTATCATGCTGTTGCTGTAATTTTCTTGAGTGATTTCTGCGTGCTACAGGACTTACGCTCCAGAGCGATGATTGGGATGGGTAGACGTGTTGATGGTCTCTATTAATTGCAAGTGTTTGATGGGCGTCATCCAGTGGCATTCACGGCAAAGCAGGCTATTAGAGACTCTCAGTTGTGGCACTCGAGGCTTGGTCATCCGTCGGCATCGAAATTTTCAGTTTTGCAGTCTTATATCTCAAGTGCTTTGGTTGTCAATAAGGACCCGTGCATATCTTGTTTGCGGGCCAAACAAACTCGGTTACCGTTTGTTGCTAGTACTGTTAAGACTACGTCAAGTTTTGATCTCATTCACATTGATATTTGGGGAGGATATCCACAGGCCTCATTTTCTGGTGCTCATTATTTTCTCACAATCGTGGATGATTTTAGTCGTGTTGTGTGGGTATATTTGTTAAAGCAGAAATCCGAAGTTGCTCGGTACCTTCTCATGTTTTTTAATCAAGTTCGAACACAGTATGAGAAAAGTGTCAAGCGCGTCCAAGCCGATAATGGCAGAGAATTCAGTACTCCTGAGCTACGTGAGTTTTATGAACAGAACGGGATTATTCTTCAGACTTCTTGTGTTCACACTCCGCAGCAAAATGGCGTCGTTGAAAGAAAGCATCGACACCTTCTCGATACTGCACGAGCACTCCGATTTCATGCTGGTCTACCGATTCATTTTTGGGGTGAGTGCATCCTTACAGAAGCGTATCTCATTAATCGTTTGCCACTTGTCACCATTCAGAATCGAACTCCCCACGAAGTTCTTCTCGGTCACCGTCCGAAATTTGATCACCTGCGAACCTTCGGCTGTCTCGTCTATTCCAAGGACACGCGTCCTGGTCTTTCCAAATTCGCAGCTCGTGGGAAGCCCGGCATTTTTGAAGGATACCCTGCGCATCAGCGGGGATATCGGATCTTTGATGTTGCTCGATGGGCCATTTACACTTCCCGTGATGTTTTTTTCTTGGAAGAAGTCTTCCCCTTCCAAAAGCTAGGGACGTCGGCAGCTTTGCCTTCCCAGGTCTCGTCCATATCTTGGCCACATGATGAGGATGACGACGAGCCTGCCGATCTTGGCGTCTTTGATATGGTGCAGGGAGTGGTTTCCTCTCGTGAGGAGGATGATCTTGCGGGCGTCACTTCCCCAGCGCTAGCTGCTCCACCCGCATCCTCCTCCAATCCCGAAACGCCCAGCTCGCCCTCCAGTCCACACGCGAGAAGTCCTCCTGCCTCGTCCAACTCGCTCTCCAGTCCACATGCGAGCAGTCCTCCTGTCTCCTCCAGCTCGTCCCCCATTACATCTTCCTCTCCCGCCAGCTCTCTCGGTCCCAGCATCATCAATGATGCTAACAGTCCATCGCCCTCTCCAGTCGAGCCCGTGCCACATCACAGAACGTGCGTCACTCGTCCTCCGGTTCGTCTCCAAGACTATGACACGGACCTCCCTAGTTTACGTCCGCATGCGCAGCATGCCTCTATTTATTCTCTCGCCAACCACGTCACATATGAGAGACTCTCTCCTGATCATCGTGCCTTTGTAGCAAATGTCTCTGCTACGTTTGAACCCACGTACTTCTGGCAGGCCATCCGTTATGAGCATTGGAGGAAAGCAATGCAAGAAGAAATCGATGCTCTAGAGTCCAAAGGAACATGGGTGTTAGCAAATGCACCGCCTGGTAAACGTATCGTCGACTGCAAATGGGTATACAAGGTCAAGTTCAAACCTGACGGCTCTGTCGACCGGTATAAAGCTCGTCTAGTGGCAAAAGGTTTCACCCAGATCGAAGGTATCGATTATCACGATACTTTCGCTCCCGTTGCCAAACTTGTTACTGTTCGTTGCTTGATTGCCGTTGCCATCAGTCAGAACTGGTTTCTCCATCAACTTGACGTCAATAATGCGTTTTTACACGGCGATCTTCAAGAAGAAGTTTACATGAGAGTTCCTCAAGTTTTTTCTCGTCCTAGTGATTCTCGTGTATGTCGGTTGCAGAAGTCTCTATACGGTCTCCGTCAGGCATCCAGAAATTGGTACCAACGTTTTTCACGTGCACTACTTGGGTTGTGGTTTGTTCAAAGCCGTGCGGATCACTCGTTATTCACCTATTGGTCTGGTTCTAGTTTTGTGGCTGCGCTTATATATGTCGACGACGTCATTCTCGCCGGCAATGATGAGCATTTTATGCAGCATGTCAAGGATTTTCTTCATGCCGAGTTCACTATCAAGGATCTGGGTAACTTGAAGTATTTCCTGGGTATCGAAGTTGCTCGTTCTCGAAGGAACTCGTCCATGTGCCACACCTATTGAGCAAAATCATCGCCTGGGCTGTGCTCCTTCATCTCCAGATCCCGATCCCTCGAGTTTTCGGCGTCTCGTTGGGCGGTTACTTTATCTTATGGTCACTCGTCCCGATATCAAGTACGCAGTCAATATTCTGGGTCAGGCAGTTCATGCCCCTACTCAGGCTCACGTTGATGCTTCTGTACGTATTTTGCGCTACCTAAAGCAATCTCCTGGCCGTGGTCTCTTCT